CTTATTTATTTATGGTTTTCTTTCTCTTTCTTTTGGTCTTCTATTTTTCTAAAAAACAAAAGGGATTGTTCAAGATAGCTCGCTCACTGGCACCACATCGCACTTACCATACCAGACGCAGGGCAAGATTAATGATGGAAGATCAAAAAGCCGAGCAGGAGAAAACAAGGAAAGATATTGAGGAGTTGCGAGAAAAGTTAGATGTCATCCTCCTCGCGTTGGAAAAAGGCAAAGCAGCTGCAGATCCTGCTACATCTAGCAACCCTGTCCATGAGTCGCAAGAAACCCCGCCTTATCCACCTGGGTACGGTCCACCTTTTAGGCCAGTGGTAGAGGGTTTCATGCCACAATATACAACGTACAACCCTCTGTATGACGTCTCGGTTGGTCAGTATCCGCATCCCTTTGTTAAAGGAGCTCAGCAAATCCCAACCAACATCATTTTTCGAGAGCCCGAGCAAATGATGTCACCCCCTACAGTCTTTAACCTAGGTGGTCTCCCAGCCAAGACAGACCTAGTCGGACAAAATGCCCCCAGTAACGAGAAGTTCGAAGTTCTGGAGGAAAGATTAAGAGCAATAGAGGGGACAGACGTTTTGGGCAACATCGATGCCTCACAATTGTGTTTGGTGTCTGCTTTAGTCATCCCTCCAAAATTCAAGGTGCCAGAGTTTGAGAAGTACGATGGTTCTTCTTGTCCTAAGAATCATCTTATAATGTACTGTAGGAAGATGGCAGCATACGTCCAAAATGACAAATTGTTGATACACTGCTTTCAAGATAGTTTATCTGGTTCGGCCTCTCGTTGGTACATGCAGTTAGATAGCTCTCATGTTGGCTCGTGGAAGAATCTGGCTGACTCCTTCCTAAAACAATATAAGCATAACATAGACATGGCTCCAGATCGCTTAGATTTACAGAGGATGGAGAAAAAGAGTACAGAGAGCTTTAAGGAGTATGCTCAAAGGTGGAGGGACACGGCAGCTCAAGTCCAACCTCCTTTAACAGATAAGGAGCTATCTTCCATGTTCATCAATACCCTAAAACATCCTTTCTATGATCGGATGATAAGAAGCGCTTCCACAAATTTCTCTGATATTATGACCATCGGAGAAAGGATCGAATACGGGGTTAGACATGGGCGAATAACTAGTACTGCCAATGAGCCATTGGCCGCAAAGAAGGCAAGTCATTCCAAGAAGAAGGAAGGTGAGGTGAAAATGGTGGGAGCAGACCGACACTCTTGGAAACAACAACCGTACGGTCGGACACCGGATACACTTCGTATTATTACCCAACGCCATACGGGTATAATCAACCATTTGTGAATAATGCAACTTCACATTACTCCCCTTATGCTTCCCAAAATTTTCGACCCCCAGCCAGTCAAAATTTCCAACCTAGGGGTCAGCAGCATAATACATTCTATACTCAAGGGCAGCAGACTAATAGAGGGGCACGTAAACAGACCTAGTTTGATCCAATCCCCATGACTTATACTGAGCTTCTGCCTCAGTTATTTCAAAATAATCAGCTGGCACCTGTATCTGTAGATCCGATCCAGCCTCCATACCCAAGATGGTATGATGCAAATGCTCATTGTGACTATCACACAGGAGCCGTAGGCCATTCAACAGAGAACTGCACTGCATTGAAATACAGGGTTCAAGCTTTGATCAAGGCATGTTGGTTGAACTTTAAAAAAGAAAATGGGCCTGATGTAAGTAAAAATCCGCTGCCGAATCATCAGAATGTCCAAATAAATGCAATCGAATGCCAAGGGATCGAGTCGAAGAGTAAGGTTGCCGATATTACAACCCCTATGGA